ATAAGGGGAGCACGCGTAGAACAGTGATTCGAGGCCTTCAATAGACACGTAGTCTATGGTTCGATTTCGCGCCATGTTTTCATCAAGCCTTATGCTTTTCGGGGGTGTGTTTGAGAAGATGATAGCACAGACTTCATACATCGATAGGACATCAATAGTCATTGTACAGGCAAATATGATTCAGTCACCTCTAACAAGGCTTAACGAATTGGTCCAACTTCGAAAACTTTGTCTATTTTTATTTTAGAATTATTAGTAGGGTTTACAAACGAATTTTTTTTGCATTCGGATTTGTGGGCAACCAATGGAGGCTAAAGCATTAAGTCTTAGTTTCACGTAGCAATAGGGATGGTGAGGTAATGTAGCTCATTTCCGGTGATTATAACACTCATTGACTGTCGCTTAAATGCTCTTAGTTATGACGTTTTCTCCAGTGGTAAGAATTCATAGTAAGCACTGACAATCGTCATTATGTTGCATAAAGTCCATTTCACATAATCTAAGCACTCGTAGACGTTCTACGAATTTGTTATTGGTTTTATAACATATAGGCCAAGGATTTCTGCAGATACGTGGGTGCTCTTTGCATGTGATGTTTCCTGTCTAAAGAATGATCTTCAACGCAGTGGCTAGCGGTTCCGTGCGATGCATATTAGAGAGTGTCGTCGGTGCAATCTCGCACCTACAATTGAACAAGCTGTTTCTTTCTGAGCTCAAAAAAATGCCATCAAACAGTTTATGAATATGTATAAATCCTTTTAGAGTATGGGTACGCCATAGATATTCGTTCTTGAAATCACTAGTATTGAAAAGGGAAGAAATGATAAATGAAAAAGCAAAAGTGGTAGAAAATGACCAGTCAGCAGAGCGGAGATGGTTGTGGGGGAAGTCCGATAACCTGTATGTCATTAGTTGTTATAGTCGCTTCATAAAAGGCACTCGTAGTCAATAGATATTCAGCAAAGGTAATGTGAGAATATCGAAAACAATGCCTTTAAGATGAGGCAAAGAGGATTAACGTTCCGGAGTTTGCCAATCCCCTGCACATGTGTCATGCATTCTACCTCGTTCTTACCATCATACATGTGACTGAATGCACATATGCTGTGTACAATGACTTGTGGTAGGTTAATGATGTGTCAATGTCCTTGGCTTCCCGAAAACTCTGATAGCACTACCTTCCAATTGACTGCTGTTTAAAACTCGTTATAAACACTTAGTATAGTCTGTGAAAATGTACAAAGCCTTTTTGAGGTTGGCACATCACTGGCTTACATACCTATCGGCGATATCACCCGGTTCATCAAAGCTATGCGCTGCACGCTGCTCCAAACTTTATAGTAAGAATGTGGAGACGATTTAGTGATAACACAATATCACGCGCTATCATATTGTATAATTATCAAAGCCTTAAACTAGTTGAAATTACGGAGTATTGAACGTACAATTATCTTTGTAGTATAATCTTTGTTTAATTAAGCCTGTAGCAGCAATTTGTTCAAAATAATTTTACTCGGCTAATAATTCGGTGTGTTTTTCGACTTCTTCAGAGCCGATGATATGAGTCCATTGCCCAGAGTCGTTCGTCTTCGCTGTGGACTTAGTCATCGTTGTCAATAGAGTCGAATCTTTCTCGGTCGGCAACCGCTCAAAAAAGGAACCTCTTTCGCCGTTGCTTTTATATACATACGATTGCTGATGATAGTAATTGTCCAATTATAATATTTATTTCTCATCGGTGAGTCCATTCTGCAGCAGTCAACAACGAAGACAAAGACTACAACGACGAGCGGCTGTATGCAATCGACTTTGATCGACGGCTCTGAAGAGAACGAAATGCGTCAGAACATTGGCCTATTTTGTTTATTTATAACATTTCCGTGCTACAGGCTCAATTGACAAAATGCATGATTGATTAGTAATGTCGTAGACAAAGGAGGGTCTGTTTCCAAGTTATATTATCAGTGATAGTATTTCCCACTCCTCCTACACAGTTTATTATTCAGACGTCTAACACACTTTGATATTCGAATGGTAGCTTTTGCTTCCTAATCAGTCAGTAAGAATCTGTTATAGCACATTTAGCCCCCTGGAAACCTTTGTTGCACTTTGTCCGCACGACTTATTCGGCCAAAGTTTTTCATACAACCTGCTCCCTAATACGCGATTACGCTCGCCCAGATTTCACTGTACTACCAGATTATTCAAAAATAAATGATCGATATTAATGTGTATATTTGAAATGGTATAAGACACTTCAAGTGAAACCTTGTTAATCGAAGTACTATCCACTGGAATTAAACTTCTTTTTCAACAAGAGAAAAACTTATTTCTATCTCTGGCAAAAATTTTGGGCTTCTAGAGGCGCTGAGATGTTGAATGCTGTTTAGACCTCGGCATTGCTTCGAAAGGATATCTCGCACAATCAGTTATGATGATGTTTTGAAAGAGATTGCCAGTAAGCATTCGAAAACCACCTTTGAATCTTTGAATCATTGTCGGCGACGACGCCAGGTGTGGGAGCACCAGATAGTGCAGTGTAGTGGCAACCCGTACGGTGTCCAATTGAAACTCTCTCAAATTTAAAATCTTTTTTGAACGTTATAAAACAGTTTAAATTCTTACACCAAGTTTTTTCTCAAGTTCTCAAGCAATCTTGTGGTGTAATTTTATTCAAAAAACTCCCAAACTAATATACATACTGTTGGCCGATTTTCCTCTCACATCGGCATAACCACTCAATCATATCTTTGTAGATTAAGTGTGTAGCACGAGGTGTTACTAGCAACATTTATTTGGCTAAGTTTCAGTGCTTTTTTTTCTGTCGAAGCATTAGCTTAAAAAAATTATTATTCACATCTCGTGCTACAGGTTTAATCAACAAAAAAATATCTTAAGCCATTATCCATCACCAGTAAAACGACTTCCGTGACCTTTCTCATGTTCGATATTAAAATCGTCACAACCAAACTTTTGACACCGTAACCACAATGTGATTCGTTTAAACTTCCTTAGTCTTATACCTTATCAATAATTCAAGCCGCCTGCATCAGTTTGCTTCTGTGTTTCGATTCGTATACCTAGATTTCCCTTGCCTTATTCTGAATTATTAATTCAAGAGATGGCCGCAAACTCATTGTGTTGAACAATTTTATGAACTCACTTCTCATTAATAACATATAAGCACTGAATCGTTAAACAGTGTTTACGCTTTCAGCGACTTTTAACTACAGTTAAATAAAAAAAAACCACTCATCTAAATATTGTCCATAATAATGGTTCATTTCTAAAACTTTTTTGATTCAACTGCTTTAACAGTGATACAATGTTACAGGTACATACTCAGTATTATTGAGTGATATGCAAAACTATGAGCGTTCGAACGAGATGCGAACCCGCATTTTACCCTGTCTGGGGACGCGTGCTTGCAAAGTTCTGCATTTCACTGAACAATGTTGAATATATAATATATATATATATATATATATATATATATATATATATATATATATATATCTGTACAATCATACCACCCCAAAAAGCAGTTAACAAAAAAAATTCTAGTTGATAATACAAATATTAAATATCTGTGAGCGTGACTGGTTTTCAGATCGATATAGTTGAGTCTCACGAAGAGTGGTAAAAGAACGAGTGCCAGTAGTGCAATGGGTAGCACGTGCCCCCGGAAAGGGTGAAATGCGGGTTCCAATTCTGTCCGACGTTCAGTGTTCTGCATACCACACCAACACTATTGAATAGAAATTTAGTCGTTTTCAGTCAGTTCTTACAATTTATGTGTGACTTGTAAAAAAGCTGTTTTTTTCATTCGCATATTAAATCCTACTGTTCAATAACTTGGTTTGATTTATCTCTACTTTTTACTGTCCTTAGTCCCAAAATCTTTTGCAATACAGTGAGTAGCCAAAATGAGCTCTACGAGCATTTTCTCTTTCTGATAGTTTACGTTTGGGCACAGCCTTTTTTTTGCATTTATTTGCAGACAAAAAATAGCTCATCAAGCAGAAATACTGTGGATAATAGTAGTCCGGAAGAACTCTACTCCTCACTCAAAAATACATAGAAAACCATCTTACAAAAGATTGACCAACCTGTACTTTAACGGGCAATCGACTACTGTATATTTTCGAAGGCTTTATTTTGGTCTTAACTGCTGATACAGATTGTCTCAAGCGAGCGAAAGGTTGGAAACCGTGTTAATGTTCTATGTTAACGAGTTTGATTGATAGTTATTCGCTAAAAACAAAAAATGCGTTCTCTAGCATTCCCTCAATAAAGCGACATAGTACTAGGCCGCGGAAAAAGATTCTTAACACCCGTTTCAAAATTGGAAGTTTATACATGAAATCGGTCAAAAACAACAATAATTATCCTCCCAAAATGAAGACCGTCATTGTTCACAAACTTCTGCCAACGATCTGCAAGCTGCGAATGTGATCGAAATTGCCATTTCTCAAGCTTAAAAGGTCATAAAGCTGCTGATATGCCTCTTCAGCTTGATCAAATATTACGAATCGGCCGATGTTCACGCAGGAAATGTTCCACTGAGCGGAAAGGGATCATAATCAGACGGCGCAGCAATTGGACTGTAGGCTGGTTGCGGCAAAACCTCGACTTCCTCCAATACCAAACTTTTTTTTTAGTCTACTTTGCTGTAAGAGGTTTCCCACTGTCTTGGTGAAACAGCACGCACTTCCAACGAATCAATGTCGGGTTTTTACTTCGACACACTCCAACTAGCGTCGTCGTGAAAGTTTCGTATGGAAATATTTTTGGGATATTTCCATGAGCTTGCAGTTGTCAGTGCTGTGTGAAACAAAATAAAATTTGGATTTTTCGAGGGTGTTAGGGAACTGTTTCCACAATCTAGTGGATTGTCCAAGACTTTTGAACAGCCGAAGATTCTCGTTCCTCAGAATTTTAAGGTTAGGCAGTAGTCCTTTCTTGGATACCTAAGATAATTGAGTGGTGACCTAAGACTTGACCTCAGACGGGAGTTAAACCCGTGTTTCACCAAAACCAAGGGCGTCTTCTACCACTAAACCACCGAAGTTACTGCTTACCCACCACTCGTCCTTCAATATCTCTCTATCATAGCTATCAGCTACTAACTTTCACAGGTCTAGTCGGGTAGGGAACACCGCTATATGAAACCCAGCTAAGTGAACAGCCATTTTATTTATGCAAATTTGAATATTGCACATATTTATTCTTATCCATTTATTTGTAGTAGAATTTATATCAGTTTTTTTCTCGATTTGTCGTCAAAACCAATCGCCTTGCCTCGTGCTACGGGGTGTTTCGTCGTGTTGTGGCAAGGCAGCTACTGTACGACGAGGATTTTTGTCATTGCCTTCCCAAAGTGTTACTTTAGTTGGCCGTCGAACCTTACAGGGAATTGGAAATATTTATTATCCAAAACGACGACATTCTTGTCATCTGTTTATTCTTGACGAGTTGCCCATTTGGAAGGGTCGAACTTTTCTCAACTAAATGAATTTACTGATGATGAACTCATGACGTAATGTCGTGGTTCGATACTGAGAAAGAATCTACAGTGAGGAGTTGAAAAACTTTGTTAGCCACAGAAATCAATCAACTATGTATGAATTCTCAAAAGCTTAACTTTTAAGCCTAGTTTCCAGCCATTTGCAATCCCGTTTTCGTCCGTTATGCAGTTAAAAATTGTTCTGCTGATCTGCTAAAGTTGTCTCAAGAGGAGTTTTACTTTTTATTATGTGGCGTCCAGTTTTTTAAGCCAACAAATTAGAGTGATTTGTTTTCTGCTCTCTGCAATGAACTTGCTGATATTATGTGGCTGTGGATGTTCTCTTGATTAGAACATGGACATTTTTATGGTTCTTTTCCTTTTTTCATCATGACAAAAACTGTCTCATTCTTCTCCACCATGCGTGTTATCTTGCAATCTTCGCTAGAAGAAGCTTTGCTTTATCCTACTTTCGACGATATCAGAAATGTCAGTTTGGCTGATAAGATAAAGAAGAGATTATTCATGTTGACTGCCATCTTAACTCTTTACTATTTCGACTGTGCTGCTTCGTGTGATTGCTTTTGAAAAAATTTAATGAAATTATGTTTCTAGAAAGTTCAACTTTTAATGGATGATCCATTGAAATATCCGCTTGGCTTTCGGCGAACTCAGTCATGTCGAGTACCGCAGAAAGGTTAGTCTCAAGTTTCTTGTATTTTCTTGCGATGCCACTGATTTTGAGGGTGTCTTAAGATAATTGAATATATTCCCAACAATCTTTATCCTATATGGCCTATTTATGCACACATTAGCGTGTAGCTCAATTGTGAGGCTGGATCTGCAACATATACGTTACCGTTGCTTTAGTCGCCCTAACTGATCAAACCTCTCGTCTCTCCAAGGACTGTAAGATTTGGAAAATTACTGCTAGCCATATTTCCAGCTATGTTAAGACGATGAAAACATGCGTCTTGATACACCAGTGGCCTAGCAACTTGATATGTCAAATATGCCTTCAATCTCTTCCACGATGTTTGATGGAGCCGCATGCAATAGCAAATAGTCGAAAGATATCTCAGTGCCACACATATAAGCCGCTGAGTCGCACGCCGACTTTTCACGTGGCACGCGGAGGTATCGCGCGGGCGAGCGCAGCCGTTGCAATAACAATGTGATAGAGGTGTGGCAAAGTGACTAGTGATGCTCTGCGTGGCTCAACACGGAGCCTCGAATTTGCTAGAAGATATGCTCAACCACTATTCAACGGCGTTTGTGAAGGAGGCAAATCTTTCATGGAGCAATGAGCGTGAAGAGACGAATTGAGGCAGAAGTTCTGAGATCCGAACAGTGAAAAAAGCTGTGAGTCGGTTTTTTTAAACTAGGTTTGGTAATGTACCTAGATATCTTCGAAATTGGATGCCCAATCGACTATTGTAGAGAAGCGCTTCTGCCTTGGAATATCTTTCTGACAAACATCAAAATCCTCTTCAATCCACGAGGGCTTCCTCGTAATCTCAAATACGCGGACAGTAGTGCCTCTAGAGTGCGCCTCATTTATAAGAGATCGGCAAATGGAAAAAGCTGTGAAGGCCAGTTAAACGTGAGAAATGGCTATATAGCTACCCAATTGACATCGGTCCAGTGAATGTACACTTTGCTTATTTACAAGCATATCTATGGACAGAGTGCTCAGTGTCGATCGATCCTAGTGACATACCTGCATTCAACATCACGTAGCATCGCATAGGTGATTGAATAAATAAGGCTTGCAATAGGTTGTCCAGAAAGTTCGTACCATTCTAATCTTTTTGATACGATTTTCGTAATACTTTGTTTCGAGCAAAGGGAAAACTAATAATCAAAGTTCGCGAACCACTTCCTAGTCGTTCATTCCGGAGCCGTATCATCGCCCCAAGCTCTATTAATCTTGCGCGCGCCTCATTAGCAATTTCCTTTGCGTGCCATTCGCGCATGAGTAGCAAGCAAATTTGTTCCCAAGACAGCTCCATCTTCAAGCGAGTACAGGCAAGTTGTTTACCCCAATGTTTGCAAGAAAATGCACAATTGAACGATACCAAAACCATGCAATTTATTGCAAAAATCATGTTAAAAGCCAAAACGTCATGAACCTTCTAAAAAACCTTTCACATAGACCTTCAATAGCATACCAACACATGAAAATTGTATCTTTATTCTCTCACATGAATTTGTCAGTAATTTTTCGAATTCAAAGGGAAGAAGGGATAAGTAAAGTGAGCCACTGGTGGAACCAAATACCAAATGGGTACAGTAGAACGACTTCAACCATTGCGCTACACGCGCCGAACCATATATATATATATAAGATATATAATATATATGTATATCATAGTTTACCCTAAGAAAGCAAGCTAATATCAAAAAACAGCGCATTGTTTTCAGCACGTTGAAGTGTACCTTAGAATAAAAGCATATATGGGGGTATCAGCGAAAATCCACGTAGTGCTTGAATGTTCTGATATATCGTATAGCAGTCGGTCCTTATCCCTTTCATACTGCGATACTAGTATTTCTTTCTTTACTCGTTGAGGGAAAATGCTGAGATTCTAGCATAGTCTAGTCCATAATTCACTTCGTAGATCACTTTACTTTCATCAATTCTGCAAAAGAGTGTTGCTATTGAATGAACTATTAAGTACGGAGACAGTTGCTTGTGAATTTAGGTAGTTGAATTTGCCGTTTTTCTTAAGAAACACAATAATACGAAACTCTTTTTCCCTTATTATTATCATGATTTATTATATTTCGTGAATATGAAGTATTATATTCATATAAACAAGGAGTGGCCAGAGGTACTCTGAGACACACACGTGGTAGATCAATTCATGATCCATGGTTTGATCCTGCACTCGAGGCTCATCAAGCTTTTCATCCATCCGCGGTCGATGAGATTTCATTAGATCTGTCTGAGAGGATAACAGCACATGTTATGCCGCCGCGAGAAACTGTAAAGGCTAGATATGCATTCAATCATCGCAAATGGTGGTATAGGAAGCGAATGCATGACGCATCTCTGAAGGATTAATCAAAACCGAGAGCATTCATGTTTAATCTTTTATATGTAGGGGACGGTGGCTGCGTTGTTAGTGATGCGCATCATAAGGATATCAGGCGACAAGGTGCTGATTTGATTGCCTCCAAACACTCTTTGCAATCACTGGAACGCTTCAGCCTGACCATCTTCCAGATAGAGAGGAGGTTTACTCAACCAATATTTTACGAACTTTATGAAGACAAAATCCTCAAGCAACAGCGAAAACAACACGTGAAGTACTCAAAGACCTTTGGGGTGATCAATGCGAGGCTAATATCTGCGTAACAAAATGTGATAATGAATCGACCAAATTGGCAAAGAAAAAATGCTCACATATTCTCAACCAATTATGAAAACTTAACAGCACTTGTTCAGAAACATTTAGTTGGCGAAAAAGTTGTTTTTTTTCATTCCTTCAGAAGTGGTTGATTTCAAAGAATGAGTTTAGGCCTGATTAAATCCTCCGATAATTTTTTGCAGTTTGTATTTCTATACGGTGAGGCATAGTGACGGTTCTAACTCCGTGACACAGAAGCATCAAGCACTAACCACTCGCATTCTTGTAGCTGAACTTTTTTTCCGATAGTGTTCGAAAGAGTAATGCTTATTTTTGAGTTTTCAATATTACAGAGTTTCACTTAGTCCATCGCTAACCAACTAGTGCCAGTATCAATAGCAGGATCGACGATTGACGTGCAAGCATTCATGCAATGAAAAAAACCAAAGGAAGACTTTCCTCAACTCGCATTATTCCATCTCTGAGGAAACGAAAGCATCGAAATGTCAGAAGGATAAATATTCTCTACACAAGCCCCGTAACACCACAAATGAAAAAATGCAAAAGGAATATCTTTGAAAGGCATAAAATTTTGATGCTATAACGAAAGACCGATATACGTGGCCGCTTTGAGTTTCTGAATTGGCCAATAATGTAATTTCCAATGAGAAGATTAAGGCAATTAAATGCTATTGCTTGCTCTTATATATTTTGCCTAATTTGCTATTTTGAACTGTGATCGTTCCAATCCTCAAAACAACTCTAATACCGTTTTTTCGTAATGCGTACGATTCACTCCACACAAACTTCTATTACCAAAGACTTAGCTCATATTCTCAGTTCCTTGTGCATTCTATCAATTTTCAGTGATAATAAAACATGTATAACAATGTTCAATGAAACAGTTTTCGACACGGCTCCTTATAAGCCAAGTGTCTCAACCCTTCGAAGTGAGCAACCTGATGCCAGAGCTGCCTAAAAAGTTAAAAACACTGATCTGATGTGTTGATAGACAAACGGAATTTTTTATACGTCAGGTATATATTCAATCACTCCTTCGGTGCTATAGATGGAGTTAATGCATGAAGCAGTGATTGATCAACCTCAAATGTTTTATTTAATATCATTTCATTAACTCTTTCGGGACCACGTGGGCCACTCATAGTACACACGAATTTTCGCGATTTTCTCGTCAACTATGGACTTTTCGTT